TTCCGGCCTTTTCCGTCAACTTCCGGTCTTTTCCGTCAACTTCCGTCAATTTCCGTCATTTTCCGGCCTTTTCCGTCAACTTCCGGCCTTTTCCGTCAACTTCCGGCCTTTTCCGTCAATTTCCGGTGTTTTCCGTCGATCCTCGGTCCTTTCCGTCAATTTTTGGTGTTTTCCGTCAATCTTCGGTCCTTTCCGTCCATCTCCGCCCCCGTCCCAGTCACCCCCCGGTCTCTCCGGTTCCCCGGCGCCATGGCCGGGGGTCGCCGCTCTCCGCCCGGTCCGTGCTGCCCCGGGCAGGGGGCGATGTCCGATCCTTGCTGCTCGGGGCCGGTGGCCGTGCCCAGCGTACACCAGAGCCTGGCCGAGATGGACTTCGAGCGGGGTCCGGTTGGCTCTGGGGGTACTGGGCGGGGTGCGCGGAGGTGCCGGTACCGGGAGGGTACGGGGGGGCTCTGGGCGGGAGTACTCGGTACCGGGGGTCCCAGGGCAGCCCCGGAGGTCGGTCCCGGCCTGACCCGGCCTCGCTGCCTGCAGGGATCTGGGCGGCCGCGCGGGACGGGGACGAGCCGCGGGTACTGCGGCTGCTGGAGCGGTGCGGGGACCCCGGAGAGCCCGACCGGGCGGGGTACACGGCACTGGTATGGGGGTCTGGGGGTCCGGGGGGGGCACACGGCCCTGCTACGGTGGGCACGGGGGATAGCACGGGGGGCTCAACCTGGCGGGTACACGGCCCCGGTATGGGGGTCCCGGGGGTCCCGGCCCCCCTGCCCACTCTCTTCCCCCCTCCTCCCCTCAAGCACTACGCCAGCCGTAACGGGCACCTGGGGGTGTGCCGGGTGCTGCTGGAGCGGGGGGCTCCCTGCGACGCCCGGACCCCCGGTGGGGCCACCCCCCTGCACCGCGCCTGCTACTGCGGCCACCTCGCCGTGAGCCGCCTCCTGCTCCAGCACGGGGCCGACCCCGCGGCCACCGACGGCGACGGGCGGACCCCCCTACACAAGGTGAGGAGGCACAGGGGGGAACCTTCTGTCCTTGGCACTGAACAAGGTGGAGGGGTTACAGGATGGCGGGACCCCCTGCACAGGGTGGGAGGGGGCAAAGAGGGTCCCCCTGTCCCTGGCACTGCACAAGGTCGGTGGGGGGACACGGGGGGAGGGACCCCCTGGGCAAGGTGGGGGGGCACCGAGGGAGATCCCCTGCACAAGGTGGGGGGAGGATACAGGGGGTCCCCTCTCTCACACAAAGGGGGTGAGAGCACAGGGTCTCCCCTCCCATGGCATGACCTGCACAAGGTGGTTGGGGGGCACAGGAGTGTTCCACCTGCACAAGATGGGAGCTGGGGGTCCCCTCTCCCCCTCAAGGTGGGGGGGGGGCACGGGGAGCCCCCTTTCTCACCCAAGGTGGGTGGGGAGCCTGGTGGGGGGTCTCTCTGTCCCTCTGGGGGTCACACGAATGCCCTCCCAGGCAGCTGAGCAGGGGCACCGTGAGCTCTGTGCACTCCTCCTGCGGCTCTGCCCGGCTCTGGCCACACTCCAGGATTCCAGGGGCCGCCTCCCGCGGGATGGGGCCCACCCGGACGTGCGGGACCTGCTGGACACCTGAGGGGACACGGGACACCCGGAGCCACCCCAGTGGGACCTCCAGAGGCATCTCCAATGGACAAACGCAGCCTGTGGCACCAACTCTGTCCCCTTGTCACCTGTGCCAGAGGCCAGGGTGTGGGGGGTCACACTAGGAGGGAGGTGCAGACCCCCCTCCCGCCTTCCAGGGACTTTGTTTCCTAAAAAAACCACTAAAAATGTGGAAAACAGTTTGTTGAAACAGTAAATTCCGCGGGAGGTGAGAGGGCTCCTGTGCTTCCCCCTGGGGTGGTTGGGAGGGAACAGCAGCTGCTCAGGGGATTCTGGGGGGATCCAGATCCCACTGTGGGGGGAGGCAGAGGCAGGAGGGCCATGGATGGAACCTTGTCCTTCAGTGGTTGGGCACTGATCCCGCTTGTCCAGGATCTCCAACAGCACCTTTTCCTCCCTGACCTCAGAGACGAGTCTCTGCCTTTGTGGGTGCCTAGGTGGGACTTCATGGAATCCTCAAATGGTTTGTGTTGGAAGAGACCTTAAAGCCCATCCAGTCCCACCCCCTGCCACAGGTAGGGACGCCTTCCACTAGATCAGGTTGCTCCAAGCCCCATCCAACCTGGCCTTGGACACTTGCAGGGCTGGGGTGGTGCCCTCGGGATCCCCCTCCCATCACCAAGCCCCTCGCCCCCCGTGAACCATGGCAGAGACCCACGTACAGATATAGACTTTTATTACCCATCTGGCAAAAAAATCCCTCAAAAAACCCCCAGGAGATAAAATCCCACGGTTGTTTCACAACCAGGAAGGGGTGGGGGGGGGGATTGGGGAGGGGTAGACCCTGCCCTCTCCCCTCCTCCCCCTCTGGGCCCTACCCTCCCCAAACATACAAATCAAACCTGAACAATAAATAGGAATTCCCAGGGGAGGGGTTAGGGGTTTGCATAGAGGAAGATTTAATAAAAAAAAGGGCTTTTTTTTTTTTTTGTCCTGGCTTATTATTATTAATTATCATTATTATTATTAATTATTATTATTCTCTCTAAAAATGTCCCCGCAGAAGGACCTCTAGGAACTGATCGTCAAGACATGATTAACAAAAATAATTAATTAACCTTCTCCCAATAACTTACAGAGTTCAAATCAGGGAACTTGTGCTTTTCTTAGGGGGGCATCTCCCCCTTTCCCAAAACTAGGAATAAACCCAGAGGGAGGGGGGTCCCGATGGCTTTGGGGGTCCCCTGGTGCCTTGGGGGACACATGACCCCCTCCTGCCTGTACAACTTTGGTCACTAGCGCTGTGTCACCCCAAAAAAACCCACAAAAT